TGCAGCAGGAGAGTAGTGGCTGCTGACTGGGAGATCAGATCTGAAGGCAGCGCTACGGTCTAGAGAGCTGAGCCCCCAATCAGCAGCTGCTACATTCCAGCCACCCAGCTCTGAAGGCAGCACAGCCATCAGCAACAGTGCAGAAATAAGAGTGACGTGATACGCCATTCGTGTTGTTGGCAGTGCACTGCCATCTGAGCTGGCACCTGGCCAACAGCCGCTGCTCTTTGGCTGCCCAGCTCTGAAGGCAGCACATAAGTAAGGGCAGCAATACCACAATCCTCCTAAAATAATTTTGTAACCCCCTCCCCCAGCAACTCCCTTTTGGGTCAGGACCCCCAATTTGAGAAATGCTGATCTCCTTTGTGAAATCTGTATGGTATAGGATAAAAGCACACAAAAGATGACATTTCACAGAGACAGACCAGATTTTACCATCTGTGATATATTTTTCATGGCTGTAAATTTGGTAGGGCCCTACTGATAGGTCTTTGGCAGGGAGTGCAAATGTTGTGCAAATGCTTGTGCAAATGTCTTTTTACTCTGGGCCTTTTGAACCGTGTGGAGCCTGGGATCACCTGGTGGTGATCATGGGAACTGCTGAGCACTAATGCCACAGAGTGGCCCGGCTGTGTAGCTGGAGCATGAGTTACAGTATTCATATGCCTCTCACTCCCATTAGCCCTGCATGCAACAAAAGGGGCACCAGACACTGCTTCGCTCCAGGCCTTGACCCTTTCTGTGCTGCGTAGTGCAGAGGATAGGACTCTTGGTCTTGGCTAAATATTCTGCACTTAGGTAGGGTTGCCAACTTTCTAATTGTACAAAACTGAACACTCTTGCCCTTTTCTCTGTCCCGTCCCTTTTCTGAGTCCGTGCCCGCAGCTCACCTCATCTCCCCTCCCTCTGTTGCTCACTCTCCCAACCCTCACTCAGTGACTCATTTTCACAGGGCTGGAGCAGGGGGTTGGAATGTGGGAGGGGGTACAGGCTCTGGTCTGAGCGTGCAGGCTCTGGGGTAGGGCCAGAAATACAGGGCTCAGTGTGTGGGAGGGACTCTGGCCTGGGGCAGGGAGTGGTGATCAGGGACAGTTATCGCGCGGCCCAGTGAATCTATGGGATGCAGCACTCTGACCACTGCGGCAGTGGCAGGGGCCCCGAGCTCTTTAGAATCGCTGCAGGACTGCCAGGCCGCATGCTCCAGAGCCCCGTGCCTCAAGCTCCGCCTGGCTCTGAGAGCTGGTGGTGGGGAGTGTCGTGTGTTTTGGGCAGCGTTGAGGGCTGGCTGCTCCAGCCCAACAACCATCTGCCTGAGGCTCTGCCCTTGCCAGGAATGTGGAGCTGTGTCCCCCTTCACATTGCCTAGGGTCCCAACAACCCTGTCAGCTGCCCTGGTGAGGGTGCAGGGTGTGGGCTCCAGTAGGGAGTTGGGATATGAGAGGGGGGCTCAGAGCTGAGGCAGGCAGTTAGCGCATGGAAGTGAGTGCAGTTGGGGTGTGGCAGGAGGCTGGGGTGCAGGTGACACTTACCTCAGGCAGCTCCTAGGAAGCAGAGACATGTCCCCAGCTCCTAGAGGTGGCCAGGTGGCTCTGTGCAGTACATGCTGCTTGCACCTGCAAATGCAACCCCAACAGCTCCCATTGGTTGCAGTTCCTGGACAATGTGAGCTGCAGAGTTGGCATTTGAGACAGGGCAGGAAGCAGAATATCCCTGGCTGAGCCTCTGCCTAGGATTTGAGGGGCATGTCGCTCCTGGGGAGCGGCACAGAGCCAGGTAGGGAGCCTGCCAGCCCTGTGCCAACTAAACCTATAAAGGCCTGGTCAGCTCTGGCTGAAAACCAGACATCTGGCAACCCGGTACTCAGCTGTGGAAATGCCTTTCTAGTATGCTTCCCTGCAGAAGGTGTATGTGGATTATAACAGGGCTTTTAGGTTGGAAGGCAGCTGCCAGCAGGGCACTGGGCCTAGGCTATCGGGTTCAGAGGGCTAGTGAGACTCAGCTCTGAACTAGTTCTGGGGATTGGTCAATGTGTGGTGCAGGGCTGGGTGTGGAGTTTGGAGGCCAGAGGCTGCTCGCCTGCACTCTTCAGGTTTCACAGAGCACTTGGGGTCCAGTGCTGCACAGAGCCCAGCCCATGTGGCTTTGCGCATCCACTTCTATGCTGCTGCCTTTGCCTCAATTCAGTGGCCCCGTCTCCTGCATAGTGGTTGGTTTTTCAGACATACAGAACTCCTTGTTGTGGGGCAGCCTTGCAGCTTTCTAGCCTACAGCTTGGGGCTGCGATGCTGAGGGCGAGGGAAACCCATCCTGTGCGCCACATGACTGTCCTGGGCCAGAAAATTCCAGAGGAGGTGGCAGCAACCAGAGGACTCCTCACTGAGTTGCATGGCTGCAGGGAGGCATTGGCCGTGGAGTATGCAGTGAGGCGTGCGCAGCTGGGGTGCTATTCTGCCGAATTGCAGGAAGCCAGCCACTCCCTGGAGCACCATCCCTCTGAGCTGTAAACATGCCGTCGTGCTCCTTAAACCTGCAGGGGTTTATTTTGAATTCCTCATAAGGCAACAAAAACCACATGGCGTTCAAGCCATGAAAATGTCAAGTTAAATGCTTTAAATGTAACCAGATGCTCCCAGGGCTGGTTCCTGCTCAGTGAAAAACCAAGAGCACTTTGCCCAGCTCCGTAACCCCCTGCCACCTCCCCCCACCACAAGGCTCCAGCACACCTGGCTGTCCATTAACGCCATCTCATCAGGAGGTGAGAGAAACTTTGCTCTGTTCCCCACATGGCCTCAGCAATGTGGCCCACACAATCTGGGATAACAATAACTCTTAGCACTTAAATAGCATTTTACTGCTTCTCAGAACTTCACAAACATTTAGCTAATCAATGCTCAGCAGCCTGCATTGGCACTGGGGCCTGGTGAGTTTGGTACCATGCTGAGAGATTTTTCGTAGCTTTGTTACTCACTTGCTGTGTGATCTTTGGCAAGTCCCTTTCCCTCTCGTGGTCTCAGTTTCCCCATTTGCAATGTAGTGCTTTTGACACTGACCTGCCTCTTTGGGCTTGAAGGTTGTGAGTTAGTGTCTAGAACCATGGTGTCCAACACACTAGCCACATATAGCTATTTGGCCAGTTGAGCGTGACTAGTACACTATAGCAGTAGCTTCTATAGCAGCTACTACTTCAGAACTGATTGGACACCACTGGTCTAGAAGATGCTAAGGAGGAGCATAGCCCATGTGCTGGGACACAGCAAGGCTGGGACAAGTGAGTCTCACTACAGGCAGCAGCAGGCGGGCCCTTCCAGGAGAAATATAGAGGGGCTTTGGGGCTGGCACCGAGAAGGTCAGCAGCAATGGGAAGAGCCCAGAAGAAGCAAGGCCTGGGGGAGTGATAGGGGTCAGACGCTTGTGCTTGCTTCACGTGTGCTCTTCATATGTGGTTCGGCTGCCAGGATAACCATGACTCCTAGTGGGTCAGCTCTGACCTCTCACTCCTTTCCATGCTTGTTCTTTGTGCTTCTGCTTCACCTGCACAGCCTATGGCTGCCCTTGGGGGCTTGGCAGCAGCAGTCTTCCAAAGCAGAGTCAGACAAGCCCCCAGTGTGCTGGGGTGCAGCTGCTGTTCCGATGGCCCACAAGAGCTAGATGTGTTGATGAGGAACCCTCAGAGAGGTGGAGAGCCAGCTAGGGACTGGCCCAGCTGCTCTATTCCAGTCTCTCTCTCTGCACCTCAGAATTTGTTGCCCACCCTATGGCCTGAGAAGAGAACAGCTGTCACCAGGAGAAGCTGAGAGGCGTTCCGTGTGTGTGTGTGTGTGTGTGTGTGTGTGTGTGTGTGTGTGTGTGTGTGTGTGTGTGTGTGTGTGTGTGTGTGTGTGCGCGCGCGCGCGCGAAATCGAGACACAGATTTCGGACTTCATTCCATGAAGAATTGCTGGTTTGATCTGAGGCCAAAGCAGCTTCTCTGGAGGCGGTGCCTGCTCCTGCCTGCAAAAACCACCTTCTGATTGTGCCAGTAATTTGAGGCAAGAACAGGAAATGTTTTTGCTCTTTCACAAATCTCCTGAATTTTGCAAAGTGCATTGAGGACACCCCAGGGGAAAAGGGGGGAGCTGTAGTGATGTCCCCACTTCAGAAACCAAGTGGGCTTGGCCAATAGCTCAATGGGAGGCCTGCAATAATATAAAGACTGAATATTTTTGACCTCTAAAGATATGGTTCAGCCTGAGCAAACCAGATATGTGTGTAGGCCTGATGTAGAAATTCCTTTTATGGCCTATGTTCTGCAGGAAGTTAGCTAAGATGGCCACAAAGAAGCATGCTGGCCTTAAAATCAACAAATATTAATAATGGCTTGATGCTGCAGGATCAGAAAGGACCTTCCAACAAGTTACTTAGCTGCAGAAATCATGCCCTGCCTCTACATGCACACAATGAAATCCTGCCCCTTCTGGGATGAGCTGTCTAGTTATTTAACAGTGCAAAGCAACACTTCACAACAGTTAAAGTGGAAAATGAAGGGAAATATTGTATCCGTTTGAAACAGCAAGGGAGATTTATGGGAGCTAAATATATTACTAATATTGGATTAGACCCTCTCCTGGAAAACTGTGTTGTGAGATCTTTAATGGCCCTCAATTGTCAGGACCTCAAATTACTTGTGAGCAAAACGGCATCTCTGGCAGTGCAGTGCAGCGCTTCCCTGCAACTATGCCAGGGCATTTGAAGTTAGTTCTGATTTTGAAGGGGAAGTGCCACCTCCTGAATCACCCTCATGTTCCCTGCAGCATCTGGGTGTTCCTTCCTTAGGGGTTTTCCCTCCTAGCGTTTAGAAAAGTCCAGCCTTGGTTGGCAGGAGATCTCAGGCAGCAGTGTTCTGGCTTCTAGGAAACCTCAGATGCTATAGGCAGTGGTTCTGTTGGTGTCTCAGGAGGTGCCAGCAATAAGGAGGCCTCACCTTCACTCTTTTCCTAACCCTGTGGTTTGGTACTGCCTAGGCCGAATGTCTGCGGGGGACAGTGCTGCTCTGGGTGGACAACAGCTCCTGGCACAAACCGCTGCATCAAACGTGAGTATGAAAGAACCACAGATGAGCGATGTCTATTCTGTCACTTAATGCCTCACTGGCTGGCAGGCACTCAGCCACCCCAGTGATGGGTGTGGCATGAGGACCAGAGCATGCCCCTTCCTAGTCCTTTGATCCCGAAGCCCCCTTGGTCATTTCACTGGTATCTTTGAATTTCTCCACAAAGAGTGAATTCCCCTTTCTGCCTGACTCACCCCATCCCTGTTACGGGCATAATCTGCTTCCCAAGCCAAAGAGAGATCAGAGCTCATGGGTGCTGTTACATGTGTAGACCCCAGAACTAGGCCGCACACCCCCTCTTGATGCTGCAGCACTTGTGACTATATCAGTGGTCCACGTTAATATTCGCTGCATCAGAGAGCAGACCCTTTTCACTTGTTAATTTGTTATTAATGGGGATCAGGGCTCCACTGGGCTGGTACTGCCCAGAGACATGGGCCTTGCTCCCAAGAGCTGATAAATTTGAAACACGACCTGAGTGATTTGGTAAATTGTGGGAGGAAGAGTAGTGAGGAGGGTAGGGAAGGTAAGATCACATGGTTACGTAGGCAGCTGGTGCCTAGATTGATGGTTCCAAATGGTCTGAAGATTTTTTAGAAAAGCAACTAGCTAGGTTGGCTGAGGGGCTGGGACATGGGAGCCTGCTTCTAGCGGGTATACAGACTTAGAGACACAATAGAAAATGGCTTGAGCACTTGATCAATCCCTGACTAGCTCAGCTCCTCTCCCAAGGAGTCTGTGTCCTCTCATGTCTTCCCAAGGTAGGAATTACTGGAACTGTGTGAGTGCAAACACCTGTGCCCCCATCCCTCAGGGGCCCTCCCTGTGGGGAATGCTGTTCCTCCCTGGCTGTTACTTCAGAACAACTCTCTTGCCCGTAAATGCAGGGCCCTCTGGGCTGGGGCCTCCTGCAGGGCAGCTTGGCTCTCACACGTTCATAGGACTAAAAGAGAGTGGAGTGATTTACAGGGAAATAATCCTATGGAGGGGGCTCTGGTGACATCATTAACCACATAAGTTGGAACCCCAGCAATGCGATTAATTACATTGTAAATCAGAGCAGCTCACTGGTTGCTGGTTAGTTTTCTTAACCTGGGGATCCAGCAAGACTTGTAAGTTTCCAAACACATAAATCCTCTAAAACCGCAGAATGAATGAAGAGAGGTTTTATCCTGCAAATGCCTCAGCTCCAGCATTTGCAGCTGCCATGGTTCATGGACCACCCATAGAAATCTCCCTTTTCCCCTCTGACCTGTGGCCCAAGTAATCCTAGGGATACTCAGCTCAGAGGACATTTATAAATCCAAGCTGAAGTTTCTCTTCTTTCAATGCCTGTCTTCAGTGGGTCTGAGTTTTGGAATTGGCCACCTGGGAATTCTGCTTCATCCACCTGTGATGTTCTAGTGGAGCAGGATCTGCATCTGGGTTTTATAAAGTGGAGTAGATTGCAGCTGCTCTTCTTGTGAGCCCTGTAAGTCAAACCCCTGTCACAAGCAAATAAGGAGAGCAATAGCATGAGTGAGGAAAGTCTGGAGGAGACTGGAATCCTGAGCAATAAGCAGCATTACAGGGGAGTGAAGGAGTGGCTAGTTGTCTTTGTCTCCTCTGCCCGGGCAAATAGGGTCAGCATTGTATCCGCATACTCAGTGGGTCTCTCAGACCTGTTTAAACACAACAGGACAGCTTGGTGCCCACAAGCTATCAGTGTCCAATATTGACCCACACTGCCAAGATCTGCAGGATAGTAATACAGATGTAGCCGTGTTAGTTTGATCTTGATGAAACAAAACATCTTGTTAGTCTTTAAAGTGCTGCATAGTCCTGTCTTTTGTTTCAGCAAGATCTGCAGGGAGAGAGATCAGTGAAATGTGTTATACTGGAGTGTCATGAGTAGGGATGCAAAAGGTTAACTGGGGGGCAGGGGCTGGAGCAGCTCCCTGCCCGCAATGGGGAGTACTGAGAACAGGGGCACTCCGGCCTGGCCTCGCTCATTCCCTCTTTAATCAGTTAACTGGCTGATCCGCAATGAAAATAACTTAAAATTTCTTACAAATACTGTCCTATTGCAACCCAGGTCCGTCAACTCTTTAAATAGCTCCCTGCTGGCTCTTCTTGCTGGAGCTGCGCACCAGGATGCACCCACTTACTTTCACCTCTGCAGTTAGCCAACGAGATTTTATATCTCTAGTCATGAGGGGTAATGGCAAGAGACTGAGCAAAAGGAACAGTGGGCAAAATATCAGGAAGACACTGCCTGATGGTGAGCTGGGTCAGGCTGTGAAAGCTTTGCCCAAGGGAGGGGGTGGGTTCTCGCTTAACAGGAGACTGACAGAGAGTACAGTAGGGAAACAGACAACCAGATGGAGAACCAAGATCTCATCTTTCTCTGGATTCTGCAACTTAATATAGAGGCTGCAGGTCCCAAGCCCAAGAAACTGGCTTGCCTTGAAGAGCAATCTGAGACCTGTTGTGCACATCTCTTGGGGTGGAGGCTGCTAATTGCTCCCCAGAAGGGAAGGGGTGTGTGGCTAGCTCTTATGGTAGATCCCAAAGTGCTTTACAAATTAGGTCAATATCATTTAGCCTTCTGGTCTGGGAACAGAATTTAGGTCTTATGAGTGCCCAGTCCACAAGGAAGCTCTGCCAATAGAGGTCTGCTGACTGGTTTTTGGTTTCTGACTGGGCTAGGAGAATGCCACAGCTTGAGTCACACTCCAGGGTAATTCTTCCCAGTATTCTGAGTGAGGTTTCCTCTGAGCCAGGGAGCACTCAGCCAGGGCCTCTGTTATCCCCTCTAATGTCTGCAGGTAACTATGTTCTAAGCCTGGGGTCTTTACAATAAGGAGCTTCAATATTTATTTTCTCAACTCCTGCTCCAGCAAATCTTGTTTAATCTTATTCTTGCTTGAAAGGAATTTGGACATAGCCCCAATCAGGATAGCTTCCCTGTCCCTCCATTCAGGCTCTTTATCCTCTTCAGAATCTTGCAAACCCATTTGAATTCAGCATGTTTCCTTCAACCCATTCAAGGTCTGATCCTCTCTCTAGGACAAGGATTGAAATAAGTGCCCTGGCCTTGGAGGAGCTCCCTGATCCTCCTCCTACTCACACTCCATCTTTTAGTGCTCTTTTTCTGCCTGTGTTTCTTTCCTTCGGTTAGTCTGTGCCTCCCTACCCACTGAGGTCAGGCCCTAGCATCCCATCCAGGGCTCCTCGCCTGCAGTGTGTCACACATGTGAATGCTTTACCCCCTTCTGGCCCATTTGCATGTTGAACTGGTGTTCTATGCTAATTAAATTTAGCTCTTGGCATTATCTTGCGGCTGTTTCCCTGCTAATAAAACATGCAGATTGGAAACAGGTTTCTGAATTGCAACAGACAGTTCCTTAAATAAAAGAAAATTGAGATCATGTCTCTCAAAAGAGGAGGGGCCTACAGATGCACTCCATTTTGGAAAGAAGAGGTGCCCAATGGCACTGCGCTACAAGTTGAACCTCTTTAGTCTGACCACGGGAGGTCAATATTGTCTAGCTGCATTGCCAACACTTCCACTGTGTACTAGGCTATTAGAAGACATTTAGGGGTAAATTAGGGCTAAATAACCATATAGAACACTGAGAGCCGGGACTAGTGGTTGTAAAGAAGCTTTATGGGGCTTTGGGAAACTTGGCCACCCTCGTAGCAAGTGGACATCTAGCTAACTAAAATCATGCCAGACCATGCATGTTGCTGGAATCAGAGAGTGCCAGACTAGAGAGATTCAGCCTGTACTGTGCCTTCTGTTGTTCTCACTGCGACACTCTGCCTCCCATGTTCTCAGCACCCTCTGATGTTCTTGATTCCTGAGAAAGTCTCCCCTGGTTTCGCCTAGCACGCAAATGGGAAGGAATGATGCACTGTGGCTGGGAGACCACTCAGCACTATGTGTAGCTTCCATTAATGTTCCCACCTGCTGTAGTCACTACTTGCTAAGGTGGATTGTGCCAAATCTGGACATGGTCCCCCACTGCATCTTCCTTTAACTAAGCCAGCCAGGAAGACACATGCCCATATTACGACAGCACAGCCAGTCCTTGGGCAACCATTTCCCATGGGGCCAAAGGGGAATGAAGATAAAAGGAGTCGGAGGAGGCCCCTCACTAGAAACATTTTCAATAGCGGGAACTTGCTCAAATGTGCAGTGAGACAGACAGTTCTTTTCTCCACCAAAGAGCTCAGCCCCCTGTCAGTTAGAGTGAATTTAGGCTCCATGTACTAGCTCTGCAAGGAGACAGACCCAGCCTTCCGCAGGCTCTGCTCTTGTCTGAGGTATGTCCAAGTCTGGCAGCCTCTGGTGTCTTTTCCCTGGGGACATTTGCCCTATGAACATTGCTGCATCAAGGGCTTTCCCTCTTTGGTCTCTAGCTGTGCTGGACTGAGTTGCTTTCAGCTCTTGCTTGATCTGTGCCCGAGTGGTGATTTTGGAGGGGTTCCGTTGCTTGCCATGCACATGGGAGCCATTTGCTTTGGGCTTTATTCTTGTTATGCTGCTTGTTCCCATAGTAGCCCCTGCTGTGAGAATGGGATGCCTTTGTGCTCCTGGAAAGGGTTAGGGTTTGATTTTCTGCCCCACTCCAGGCTTCCCACTAGTGCCATAGAGCCTGGGGGAGATGCTGTGTTGGGTGGGAGTTGTAATCAAGTGGGGATTAGGCAGAGGTGGGAGCTAGTTTAACATCTGGGTTTTTGGGTTTTTTTCCTCCTTTCCCTCCCCTCCCTCCTCATGGCATGTGTGCTGTGGCTGGCAGGTGAAAGCTGTGAGCTTCTAATCAGGGTTTGAAATCTAGAAGCCTCTGCTTATTGGTTGAGCCTTTATTAAGGGGAGGGGCTACCAGGCAGTCCAGGGTTTTATAAAGGAGTGAGTCAGCGACCAGGGAGCTTGTGAACAGGGAATTCGGAGAGAGAGTTCTCCAGATAAAGGAGGAAGCTAATACAGGACACTTGCG